GTGCTTTAACATCACCTTTGATTCTCCCCAGCCTTTCCTAGGTGTTGGGCAGCTCATGGGTTGGGCAAAGCTTTTCCCTTACTCTGATTTTGAAGCTTCATTCTACTGTAAGCCACTGCAACATGTTTATAGCAACCAGCATTTTCCCATCTGGCCCTGTTCAAGTTGCTCACCCCATTCAGAACACAGAGAGAATGACAGGATAAATGTAATGAGAGTTCTGGAAACAGCCAACCTGTCTTCGTCGTTGTTTCTTATGGCTGTCCCCTGTCCCTGAGGCCATGCAAAGGCAAGAACAGAGCTCTGAGGGAGAGAATGGGCTCTTCTCCCACGGCAGGAACCATCTGTCCACTAACCAGGCCCACATGGCCCTGGGTGAGGGCAAAGAGCACAAGGGTATGGTGTGCACAGACCCACTGACATGTGGTGAGGTTAATTGCTCTGCTCAGTTTTAGCCCATCGTGCTCTGGAGAGGGAATACACTTCACTGGGCTGGGGGAAACAATGCCAACTGATTTGTGCAGAAGAAATGCCTGTTCCTTTAATCTATTTGAAAGCTTTTGCACATCAAAGTCTTGGCCAGAAGTGCTATCACTGATATTACTGGTGTAGACAATTGCGAAGGTTTTGATAAAGACCTTTGTGGAAGAGCTGTTCATGGGGGGCAAAGAAGGGTCATGGTTTTGGGCAGCAGCTAAGAAACAAAAACCTCAAAAACAATATGTCACACAGCTCCTTATTCCAGCCAGGGATGATGAGGATTGCCAAGGGTACCACCAAAGCCAGGGGAACAGGCCAGAGTGGGGGAAGATCCCCACCACAGACACAGCCTGGGCAAGGCTCCCTGAGAGGAAGGGGTAACAGTTGTGCTAAGTCCAGATCAGTTCTCATCTCTTGAAGAGAAAACCGAGCTAGGCCATGGACAGTTCACCACAGTGGTCCATTGGGGGTTACAAATACATGCTATTATCCCAAAAACTCCTAAAAAATGAAGATATTGGATAGAACTCAGGAGAGAAAGTAGCAGAGAACTGTATCTAAATGGTCAGATAGGAAGGAAAAGGAGGTCCTCTTTTTGCACTGCTGCCTCTTACCAACTCCCAAATTACACATCAAAAAGATAGGAGGGGAGCATTTCCAAGATAATAAAGTAAGGAAGTTAGGAATAGAGTCTAGCTAGAATCAAAATTATTTTAATTTCTAGATGAAGTGAGTAAAAAGCAACATAATGGCCAATATACAAAATAACAAATGGCACAAAAGAGGTGCATATAAGTACTCCTGTTTTTACTTTGCACATAAAAAGAGAACAAAGGGACAGTCAATAAACCCAAGCAGCACCACACATACAAGGATAAGAGAAATACTGTTGTTCTAATGCACTCTGCATAATCATCAGGGTGCTCCCTGTTCCAAAATATCACTAAAATTGCAGATGCAGAGAGACTTGCAAGAAAGGGACAAGAACATACCTGAAAGGAAAGACGATTTGCAGTTATATTTGCTCTGTGTGAGTTACTTGAGCAGAAAGCAGTAATATAGCTTTTAAGAGAGAAATTTTCACACAAACAGCAATAAATGGGATGGGGGCAAAGGTCCGCATGGGCAGATTATTCCAAAAATTGCCTTCTAAGGGATGTCTCATTCCTCCTTCCTCTAAAGTATTTGTATTGACTGTAGGCAGCAGTCAGTGACTGGAAAGACAAACCACTTCTTACCGCCTCTGGCTCCCTCCTGCAGCAAGACCAGAGCACCTTCCCACCTGCTGTGTCCCCAGCATGACACTGAGACAGGGTTTTTGATCCTTCCTGGAGCACCAAAAGCAGCTGCTTGGGTGGGTGCTGAGTTCCAGTCTGTGCCTTCTCTCTAGTCAAGGAACATTTCACATCCTCAGCCATATGTGACTGAGAGAAGTAAAAATAATCTTGTCATCTTTTTTTTTTCATTGATGTGCAGTGATATCTCCCCGATTCATTGCTGAAATGAACCAGAATTAATCTCAGCCAAAATTCTGCCTGGTGATGGGAACGCACGTATTAGTGATACACATCAGCACACCTTCCTTCAGGAGCACTGCTATCTGGATAATATCAGTGAAGGTCAGCAAAGGGGAGGTGGGGCAGGAAATTACTTGAGAGGTCATCCCAAATTTAAATAGAGCTGACAACCGCACAGCCGGATTTGTGGAAATCTTCCTTTTCATGGCCTCCCTTATCTGAGGTAGATCAGGAACTCAGGTCTTTCTGTGCCCACAAAGTTAAAATAAAAATATTCACCTGGCCTTAGACTCCCTCCCTGTGAAAATGTGTCCTGACACCCAAATCAGAGCAGGAACTCTCCTTCCCCCAACAGCTGCCCACTCCCAAAAGATGGCATCCCAGTTCCTGACCTCTCCAGAGCTGTGCTGCAGCACTCTCATGGTAGCTTTTCCCTGCCTCTCAGGCACACCTGGCATACTCTCCCACCAAAATACATCCATTGCAGGCAGTGGTTGCTGTTTCCCCCTCTCTCTGCAACCCAAACCTCGAGCTCATTACCCTCTGCAGATGTGGTGGCTGGAAGCTGGGGGACAGAGCAGGGTACTCTCTGCTGACCCCCCTCCGTAACAACTTTAATGTCCCACAGCCTGGCTCCTACCCCTGGAGAAGATGGCAGGCATTCCAACATGAAGCTGATCACATGAGCTGCACATTAAGAGACCTTATTTTTTGTTGTGTGTTGTTTTGGTTTTTTTAAGACTTTATTCGTCTAACATGCTTGACCAAAAATTACAACACTCAAGTTATGCCAAAATGATTAAATAATCTTTAAGCTTTCATACCTCAAGTACTTTAAATGATATTTTGAAGTAACAGTTGCTTTAATATCCTTTCCACATAAAAATACACAGTATTTGGAAGATACCTTAGGAAAAATTATTTTTAAGAGAATATTTTATGGTTGACATAGAAATTTTGCTGAGGCTAATAAAAGGACCTCTTCCCTTCACTTTAACATTTAAGTGCCGTGAGCGAATGTAAACATTTCAGACTTTAACATACAGCCAATTTCCTGCCACATTTTTTGTAGACCACTTGAGTTGTGACTAGATAAGCCACTTTTATTCTAACTACATGCTATTGTTCATCTTCCCAATGATGACAGGAGTTCATATTCAACTATGAATTTCAGTTCTTACTGATTTATAAGCTGATCCTGAAATTTCTACACCAGTAGCTCTGACAAAAGTGGCCCCATCTGAATAATGGCAGACTGCTCATGCACTTGTGAACCACTCCCCCAAAAACCAGTTTCAGGTGTCACCTATTGTTTTGGGTTTCATTTTCAGTAAAATAAACCCAGCACATTAGTTTAGACACACAGTCACCCAACAGATTACCAGAAATGACAGACCTGTGACTTGTCATGTTTTCTGGGGGTCTAGTGGCTTCCTGTGGGTCCAGAGCATGAGTCAGTTACTGGGCCTGAATGTCTTGGCTCCAGGCAGCACCTGGAAGAGCTGCTGCACATGGGAAGCCAGTGAAAAGCAGAGCTTGTGCCCACCTTGCCCAGAGCTGAGGCTCACATGGCCTGATTTGGCAACACAGGTATTTTAAATTATTTGTATAATGTACATGCAGCTGCTACGTAAAACTCACATTTACATCCATGTAACACACACGATTCTCCAATGCATGTGTGCAGGTGTGGGCTATGCACAGATCTGCAACCAGCTCTGAGCTAGCAGTGCTGTGGTGTGCCCAATGTCTGTGAACAAGATTAATGCCTAGATGCTGTCAGCCCCAAGCTCAGGATGCCCACATTCGGAATACAGCAGTTAAATTATCTCCATCAAGTCAAAAGGACGTGTTCGTTAGTTCAAGGCAGAAATACATTTTCTTGCAAGACATGTCTAAAGCCCTGGGGGTTTTTTGGTGGCTTTGTAATCAATTCTTAAGCTTCTGCCTAGGACAGGACTGAAATCCCAGCAGCTTCAATACCTTTGCTAGCACTGCAGGAAAGCTGCATGGGCAGTACCGTGGCTGTGGACCATCCCAACCAGCTCCTGACACATCCCCTGCTTTGCCTGGTCCCAAAAGCAACACAACAGGTGGGTTTCTACTGGGTTTGTGCTGAGCCTCTCTCAGCAGTGTCCATGGGTGGGCAAACAGCAGTACCAGGTCCCCTGAGGTGACCTCTGCTCTGCACACTTTGGTGTGTACCCACAGCCACCCAAAAGGGAGTGCTTGAACTACACCTTGGGTTGATACCTTCCCCTTGACATCCATGTTTCCCAAGGACAAAATTATCACAAGGACATTTAACCACTCCTGCTCAGGGCTAAATTCAAACCAGTAATCTCATAATTGGCTGCATGTCCTATTAGCAGTTTTTAAACCAATGTAGGTTTTATTTAAAATACCATTACTAATCATTGGGTGGGCTCTTTGCAGGTTCTCTTTCTTTTTTCCTTAAATAACATCTTGTTTCACCATATGAAAACACAGTTATATTTTTTCTTCCTTTTTTTTTTTTTTTTAAGGGAAATGTCATTCTTTTTTTTTTAAACAGGCGAGGCCAGGTTACAAATTCCTGAGTTTATACTGCACTTAACACAGTCTCCCTTCTTAAATGTTGAGCTGTTTACAGCATGCTGGCAATATGCACCATTTCCCTTGCCATCTGTAATGCCAGATGTAGTAAAACTTCATTTCAGTACAGTGAATTAGGGCCTGTATTGCATTGGTTTTGAATAGATGCAAAGACTTAGACCTGGAGGACTTGGAGAAATAGCTTTCCTCCTGTGACTGGTCATTTGTGCACCATCTTTTATATTTGCCATGTTGATTACGGGAAAACATCTTTACCATCATTTTTATTTTACCAAAAGCTCACTGAAAAACATCTGAAATGAGGAAATCCTAGTCTAAACACTTATGTTTAAACTGTAAACTTTCTTAAAGAAACATTTCTTTGAAAGACATTGTTCTTTTAATAAGTCCAGTATACAGTATGTACAAAGGCCCCTACTAGAGATAAATATATATATATATATATGTATATATGTGTGTATATATATATATTATATATATATATATATATATGGAATGCATTCACTTTTCTGTGTTCACAAACATTTTAATGGTGAAATGTTAGTCTTTAATCTGGTTCTGGCATCAAAATGTCTTCGTTCCTTGTCCACTTTTGTTATTCTAAATTTATCTGTTAAGAGCTAGCAGGGAAAAAAAGAAGAATTTTGCTTTTTTTGTTGAATGGTTCCCTACTGGGATTCTCAGCCAGCAATATAAAGTTGCTTATGTGTTGGGTACAACTTTAAATCCTCATTATAATCATGTGTTCCTTGGAGTAGGTAAGTCAATAACTATAGGCGGATTAAGTGGCTGGTAATTCACAGTGCACACAGATGCATTCACATAAGTGGTGGTTCCATCAGCCATCACACCATAACCTAAAAAGGAAGAAAAATTCTGGTTACTCTCATTATTCCTTATTATCTTCTTTCATTTTTAATTCCCATTATCACGCAATGATAAGGGCCACATTTTTTATTACTCAGAAGGAATTTAAAAATTATCTTTGTGGAAAACATAAATGTTCCCTGAATCAATACCATCTTTGTCCTACAGAATAATTTTTTAAATTGTGTAAGAAAAGCAAAATGGGCCCTCAGTAGCTGGTGGCTATTATCTCTGGCAGCCAGCACACTAAACCACCTTGGAAAGACAGATACTTCTCCCTGCAGAGATTTTTCTCTTAAAACCTTTTTAGTTTTGGAAAGGATGCTTCTGATCATTTAGGCTTGCAGTCATCAATGCAGCAAACTTTGGGCAATTTTAATCTTCCCACCTTTTCTTCCTGTCCTGTGTTGAACATCCTTTAAGCAACCAATGAAGAAAAAGCATTGCTTGACTGAAGCAAGTACCTGTGCATGTGCATCAGGGCAGGATTTGCCTAGTAGGAACCTCTTCTTGGTATGTCTTTGAACTTGTTGACCAAACTTGATGGAAAGGCACTAAAATGCCTGCCCAGGCTGAGAAAAAATGGCTTTATTATTGAATGCATTGGCTAACAGACAAGGTGAATTCACACCCTAAAAAACCAGAACATTTCCACAGGAGAACACACATAACCATGTGTCTCACCAGTGGTGAAAAAGCTTCAGCTACGTCTCATGTCTGGCTAGACACCCAAGGCAAACAATTCCAAAGTTAAATCTGCAGAAAACCAAATTTTCAGCTGCAATTCCTGTAGAAGTACGGTGAAATGCTGTTTCAGAAAGTAAAGAACAGCCTTGATGTTATCAAAAAGAAGACACACTCTCCGTTGTCAAAAATCTTTTAATGAATCACTCAAAAAAAAACGTAAGTTTGATTATATGAATGCCTGATGTTGGAAACTTTCACTGAAATATTATGATCAATATGAAGAACTGCATTCATGCAGTTCTGTTCTTCCTCAAAATCATACATGATCACCTGGTAGAAAGCATTTGTACTAAGATTCAATCTCACCTTTCATAAAGTTAATAGTGAAATGTATTCATTACTATATACACACACTAAGTTCTAGCTATTCAAACTCTAGGTACTGAGGACCCTATGTTTTCTCTGAAAGCAATTTTGTGTCTTTCACAGCACTGAAAATTGTATAATTTGCAAACAAAGAAACGGTAGCCAAATTCCTTTTTTTTGGTTCCTTAAATCACCCTGAATAATGCAGGGCCTCCTGCACCTTCCATGGAAAGACTGCACTATAATTAGGGCCCAGGGAGGGAAGAAAACTTTGTCAGGTTCCTGTCACAGGAATTTCTTTAAATCCCTTTCTGTTTGCCACAGAACGACTGCTCTGAGGAAAACACAAAATGCACAGAGGACAGTCAGCATCGCAGCTAGGACTTTCTGTCTCCTTGGCTACACATTTGAAGAGACCAGACACTTCCTTTTGCAGGAAGATTCCTAATGGTGCAGCTTTCACTCCTGTCCCACTGCCAGCAGAGTTTCCTTGGACATGGCCTCAGTGGAGTACTGGCTATACTGGAAACAACAGATTTTTAGCCAGAGCCCCTGCCATGTTGCTTGTCCCTTCCATGGGTGCATCAGCGGCAAGCCCATGTGCAGAGGGATTTTTTGGCAGACATGATAGTGCAGAGAGGGAATAGGGAAGAAACATCTCTTATAAGTACCTCTTCCTCCCAGATGTTCAGTAAATGACTGCTGCAGATGTAGCTATGCTCACTCCAAGGAAGAACTCATCTGTTCAAATGATGCTTTCTCTCTACAAAGTGCAGCTTCGTTTGCACAGGCTGCCTGCAATGGGAATTCTCCTCTGCAGAGATTTAGCATCCCACTGAAAAACAGGCTCTGCAATTCCCCATTTGTTTTCTCTGAATTATGATAGTTAACAAGAAGAGTACCTTGTTTCTGTGTTTTGATACCTACTGTGCCAACTACATTAATTCACAGGATTTACTGTTCTGTGGAGGTGCCATTCTCTTTCCTCGAGAGCCAAAGCTGGACTTGGTTTTAGCAGATGTGATTTTGTTTACCTGCCTGAAGCTTCATGGCTTGCTGTTTGCTTATATCCCCTGCAACCCTCTTGGCTTATAATTTCAGAAATGACAATGAGTTTGAACTGTATTCACCAGCTCTCTTGGCTGGAATATCAAAGACTGCTCTAACAGCATTATTTGTTTACTTTGTGATTTAACAGTACTTTGGACATTAACCAGGCATTACCAGGTCACTGCAGATGAGACACACGAGGAGAATGAACCTAATCCTTGAGCTATAAAATAATGATCTGAACATCTTATCCATTAATTTTACACCAGCCATGTCACTTCTAATGTGCTGTGGTGGAAACCTCCAGCATCAAATGAAAGAGGGATATCTTAGGAAGGGTTCTTCACAAAACCAGAAGTATCTGAATGCCAGCTCCTCCAGTTTTTCCATCTCTGCACTGCTGAGACCCACAGAGATCCTACAGCAAAGGCTGGAGCAGTCCCAGAAGCAGAAAACTGGCAGCTGTGGAGTACCTTTTCTTGCCAGTAAGTTAACACTGCCAAAGATGGATCAGCTGATAATACACACGTACATGCCAATGGTTCACTCCTGCACAGCCCACTGCTTTCTGCCTGGGGTGACTGCACTGCTTGAAGCCTTGCTGCCTTGCTTTGTGAACAGGACAGGCAGCATCTACCTTTCCCTTTGCCTGGAGATGAACTCCTGCTGTCACTGACTTCAGCAGAGCATATCTGTCACCATTTACTTGGCTTGTGCAAAATGAACTCTTTTTTTTTTCCCCCAGTTAAATATCAAACAGTCAATAGAAGCACTTGTTTTGTCTGAGCACAAAATGTTTCCCCTGTCAAAGCAACCAAATGCATCCATAAGTATCTTGGAACTTCTACACCAATCAGTGGTGATACCCCTCTTCACTTCAGCTTCATATACAATCTGATAAAGAGAGACAACAGTTATTCTACAATCTTGAAGGTCAAGCCTTAGAAGCACCCCTCAAAACATTCCTACCCCTTTTACAAGCACAGAAGTTGACACACAGAGATCTTACATGAATTATTGTGAAGCACAGATTCTGCTGAGGAAAAAAAATCCCTCCATCCTAATATTTAGTCACTTTCTGTAAGTACTGGACTTGTGTTCTTATTTCAAAATTCACAGTAATCATCCCCATGAAGGAAGCATTAAGCTGTTTTATAGATGTATAAAATGAAAGATAAGCTCAAGTATGACATGTGGCTATCAGCCAATTTCACCTCTACGTATACAGCTAAATACGTATCTGAATTCAAGAAGTGCTTCAGTTCAGACATTCAAATTTGAACATGCTGGTTAGGACTTCTCTGTTTTCCATTTCTAAAAACATATCTATAAAAAGAAATGTGCTCTGACCTTCATGGATATGTCCAAAAACATGAAGTCTTGGCTGTATTCGTCTCTGGACTGTGTTCAGCAGCTCAACACATCCTACTCGTTGCATTTTCTTAGGAACCCAGTCTAGAAAACCTTTGGAAAAGAAATGAAAGCTTTAAGAGAAGAGAGGTTATCCACACAGCTGTGCTGTTATACAGCATTTTTGAGATATCATGTCTCATGGCTTTTTACAAACAGCCACACAAGAACTGAAATGGCAAAAACTGTGTCTACCTTGGCATGCAGAAAAGGAAGGAAAGAAAAATACTGGCAGAAAACCATAAAAGCTCATCTGGATAAAAAGGACTATGATAACTCTTTCCAGTTTTTTTCAAAGAATAAAAATAATCATTGCAATCAAAGCATTTTTTTGCACTGTTGTTAATGGGATAACTCAATGCTTTACCTTTTTTCTTCCCGAAGAGAATGAGGTGTAAAGTGCAGTAAATCCAAAGGGAGCCTCTAAAGAATTTAAAAAAACATTTAACTATTTAAAACCAGTCCTGGGACCTACTTTTTTAAGATTGAACACTTGGACCAACGTAATGGAATCTGTGCTGCCAATACTACAACTCGATTGTTACCACATTGAATCCTACAGTAGCGGAGCTCAGGTGAGGAGTCCACTACATGCCCAAAAAGTGACATCCTTGAATTAAACCACTTCATGGCACAGCAAGCCCCACTTCCCCAAACTGATGGATCTCAGATAGGAAGAGAAACTCAGGCCTTTTGCAGAAGATGTATTTAAGTGCTGCATTTACTTGCACAAAAATTGTGTAAAAATGTATTTCTTATGAAAATAGACAGAAATGTTACATCAACTTGCCTCTTTGTCTAAAAATACTGCAGGGGGAAGTTTACTGCCAACTGAAGTCCATGTTTCTTTCCAAGCAGTAGTATAAGAAGGATGTTGTATTGGAGTGTTTGCAACAATCAATCTGTTTTCTCTCTATTGTTCACTCATTTTCATCAGGCTCAGATTTGGAAACCTAGAAGATAAAATCTTCCTGGTTTTATTTTGTTGTTCTGACATTTTCCCTGCAAGCCTGTCATGGCTTTGCATCTCTTGGATTTTCTGCAGTAGTGTGAATATATTGTGCTTTTAGCCAGAGGTACAGAGCCTGGACCTGGTTTTCATACATTTACTTTTGATGTCCACTCAAGCATGGCTAAGCCAAGCAACTGGTTTAAAAGACCACAAGTATGGTATTCAAGCTCTTGGAAAAGCTCTCAGATTTGCTAGAGCTTCAGGGTAGATTCACACATTGAGAAATACCTCTTTAGCTGGCAGTGCTTGAAAACTGAGCTTGGTAAACTGTGAGGTTTTAGCAAAATGGCAAAAATTTGCACTTGTTTCATAGCTACTCAGAGAGCTAAGTCCAATTTTCAGAAAAAAAAAAAAAAAAAAAAAAAGCTGGGATTGAGGCATCCCAAGTGCCAAAAAGAGGAAGTTCTGATCATGGTCAAAGACCTGAAGGTGCTTTTTGCTGATTCGCACCTGTCAGGGAATGTAGAAAAAGAAAGTCCTGCTGAGCTACAGCCAGGCTGAGCAATGCTCACTCCTGCTGAATTCACATGTGCCATTGAAGGGAGGTCAAAATTCTCCAGAGAAAAACAATACTTATGATATCAAAGTGAGGCCAGCAATTCCTCTGGAATAAAGTCATGTTTGGGGTTTTTTTTTCAGAGTAAACATATTATAGCCATAGGTTTTATTACTCCAATGATTTGAAACAGTTAATTGTCAAAATGTCTGAAGTGAGCATAAAGCCAAAAGTATTTCCACTTCAAAAACTTCCAAAAATCCATAAAATTAACTTCTCCATTAAATTAAGCATTATTTATGTTGAACATGTTTTTGTTTACATGCATTATCACCCTTCTGAAGCCTTCCCATATGTTTGCAGCTTATTATGTACACCTGACTACACAGACTAAGAATAATTGATTACACCTAGCTAACAATTAGAGTTCATCTTAGAGATTTTTTAATGTTTGGTTACTTGAAACAGGTTTCTGCAGCTGTCAGGAAAGTATAAATCTTTGTCACAGACTATCAAGCAGACAGCAGCAAATGAAGACTTAAAAACAACGAAAAGAATGTGAACTTTTGGAAGAGAAATAAAAGAATCATAAATGGAGATCTTTAGGAAACAAAAATATGCTGATATGGAAATGAGCATGAACACTGATCCCATAATCACAAATTCTGTATTTCATAAGCTATGAAATACATTGCATATATTTGTTAATAATAATAAACAGGTTACTAATAAAATGGTCCAAAATAGCTGTTTTAACCTCTTTTTGTTCCCATTCTGTGTGAACCTCCCATCTATCCCTGCCCTAATTTCATCCCAAAGCCCTACTCTAAACCAGAAGAGAAAAATTATGCGGATTTTTGTTACATGGCTAAATGAAAAACAAAATTCATTAACTGTTTATGGTGCTTCTGCATCTAAATCTGACCATTTCAAATCTATGTAATAATGTAGTATCAATTAGTTCAGGAGGATACACACTCTTGAAGTGAGGGAATCAGAGAGCAGCAGAAAATGGATGATAGGCTGAATTTAGGAAGCCATGCTGGAGAAAAAACCCCAGAATTTGCAGAGATTGCTGCAACTGATTGCTATTTATGGTCGTTAGGAACAACTCCAGTGAAGTCGAGTTCCAAGATCAGAACAACAGGAATCAGCTTTCTGGTTAAAATAATTGGCTGGGGGGNNNCTACTTACAAGCCCTGGATATCCCAAAGGGTCTGTGGACAGAGCTGCACAATGAGGTTGTTCTGTAAGTTAAGCAGAGTGCCAAGTTCTTTGAAGTGTCATATATTTGTTGCCATGGGTGTCAGGGAGACCAACAGCTCCTACCCTCAGGCAGAGGGTTCTGTGCCTGAGCCATCTATTAATGCATCAATAAGAGAGAGACAAAGAAAGAGGAACTTCTAAAAAAAAAGGACATTTTTGGAGGATGATTGAAGACAAACAATTAAAAGGAAAAAAACCCCCACAAACACATACTGAGCCATGGAAATGGGGGCAATTCACATTACTCCATTACAATCACTGGGGAGGGGTGGCACTTCCTCAGAATTATTGCAATTATTAATTTAGTTTTCAATTATTAAATTTACTATTACATTTATTATTAAAGTCTTTCTGCTGAGTGCCAGCTCTGCAGTGCTCTTTAGGGGTCCTTTTCCCTCTGCTGATGCCTGACGCTACTGGTGAGGCCTGGTGGCTAAAGCAGTGGAATCTCTCCACTTTCCAACATTAGATTTCAAGTGACTCTTCAGTCAGCTGAAGGTTGGATTGTTTTACAGCTGGCCAGCTGGCTTTAAAAGAGGTTTTCAAAGTGCTGAAAAAGCTTCTGAAAAAGTTTTAAATACGACTTATAAATAAAACTACATGAAAGACATAGCATTGTGCCTTGGACCCTAGCAGGGATGACCCCCATACCAATGGCTGGGAGCTGATATCTGGGGGCTGAAACACTTATTTTCTGACATCCACTTTTACAATGCAGACTCGTATTAAAATCAGTCCATGGCACGGCATGAGACTCCACTTAGGTGAAGAATCAAAACACACACCCCTAACTGTGAGAAACTCTGCTAACAAAGAACTACTTTCCCCCAGGATTAGTGAGCAGTGGGATGCAAACATGTCTTTCTAAAGAAAACAAAACACAAACCCTTGAGATACTTTCTCCTCCAAGCTCTGAAAGAGAAGAAAGGGTGGAAGATGAGGGTTTTAGCTTCAGGAAATTGGGGAATCTAAAGGTTTAAAGAAACCAACTACCTTCTTTTCACACAAAACACAGTAAGGCTCAGCAGAACACTTGAGTACATGCTTCTTGTTCATGTCCATTTATTAAATTAGTGAGAGTCAAACACACAGTCACATTAAATATAGACTGCTATATGTTAAATACATTTAAAAAAAGCTTAAAAGCCTTAAGCCTTTACTGAATCTGGACAAGTTTGTGTGATTGTATTATTTCTGTAGCAAAGGTAATGTCAAAATTTTCTAGGAATACGAGAGATCTCTTTTAGATATATAGCTTTTATATAATCTGTATTAATAGTAACAGAAAACGCACATGCAAAACTGTTTTTTTTATCTGTACATGTTGCCAAATTGTATTGCAGATAAGCAATTCAACCATCCTGTCCAAAGAACAGGCAAACAATGTGGAGCATCTGGGTTTGTGAGGCAGAAGGTGCACCAAGTCAGCATGGTGAGGGAAAAAAAGAGATTCTGGGTACTTGTTGGTGGGAGAATGCAGTAGCAAGTCAGGGAGAAAGTGATAAAAAAAAAAAATCCTCATCCTGCATTTCTCTTCAAACAGGCTCCATGCTTTCAATCTAGTAATTTCACCAGTGGCAGATCAGAGATGTGCATAGGAAAACTAGACCCTGCATATTTGTAAAGTTCATTATGGCTTTACGTGTCAACATTTTATTTTTAAAGCCATTATTTAATTCCCTGCCACTGAGCAGAGATATCACAGGTAATCATGAGCTGAAGTTCTGATGCTGCTGAAATCAGTATGCATGTTGCTTTTGACTTTTGTAAGTCAGGATTGCACTCTTTTTCTAAGGAGAGCCATCAGTTACCATACAATCATCTGAAATACACAGCTAAGACACTATTATTTTCTTACCGAGAGGTGGTCCATGTGTTATAAGAATATCTATTCCATCTGGAATAAGGTTCCATTTCTCTAATAGTGCTTGGCCTCGTGGAAGATTAAAGCCCCAGCCATAAAACCAAGGTTGCCTGCCAAGAGAGGAGGAGAATGTCTTCAGTGCTACTTCCATGTACTGGTTATCTAATTAAAATACTGAGGTTGACTCTTTACTACCATGGAATTTGAAGACACAAACAGCATTCATTTTCTTCTTTGTGTGCACAATAATCCCCTCTTTCCATACAAGCAGTGTAGTTTAACTTGTACAGCAAAAACGAGCAGTGCTCCCTGCTTTCAGTAGACAGCACAGAGTAAAATATTCACAGTATTACTCCAACTACTTACAAGCCCTGGATACCAAGACCTCCATGTGTGGATTATCATGCTGACTCTTACAACATTTAGAAGAACAGCTGTCTCAGACACCTCCATGTGATTTATGTTTCACATTGGCTCCCAGCATGTTTGGACCTTAGCCTATGACCAGCTGGGCAAGGACAGACCCTGGCACCATGACAGATCCTGCTCCAAAGTCAGAGACATAATCTCTGCTACTTTGTTTCCTTAATTGGACACATCCCATCAGAACAAGAATGCTGCTGCTTCTCTTACACACAAATTTCTTCTGTCCTCTGGTGTGCTGACTTGCTTTTAAGTAAGACTTTCCATATTCAGGACTCCTTATCAGACAGGCATTTACCTTTTTTTAAAATGTGCTCATGGAGCAGCTCATCATGGAGCAGCAGGACTGTAACACTGCCAGTCAGAACATAATTTATCAGTATCTTGCTATCCCATTGATTAAAAAACTATATTTCATAGCAGTTATATCACAGTGTTAGTTATGTCTTGCTGACTAGGCTCCAGTTCTAGGTTATAAAATTTAGGGGTTAGTTTTAGGCTGGAAGTTTTAATAATTTCTTGACTGGCGTCCTGTGGCCATACCCATATTTGAAGAACAATGAACAAAAGGTTTTTCTTCAACAGACAAAAAGAGGCTCAACTACTGATGACTGAAAGGCTTTCTTTCTCATCCCCTGCCTCTTTATCACATGCCCTGGACAACCAGGGTCTTGAGAAACAGGCATCCCAGGGGAAAAAATAAAAGGTGAAACTTCAAACATCTGCTATTGGGACCAAAAATATATGTCCCAGCCTCCAGAAGCTGTGATGAAGAAAGTAAAGAAGGTGTGTGAAGGAGAAATGCCAACAGCACTAGCAGTGAAGCACAAATCTTATTCTGAGTAACACTGCTCAGGCCAAGGCAGCTGGCTAAGAAAAAGACTCATCCCCACATCAGGCCACAAACTCACACTTTTCTGGTTACCTGTTCAGCATTCCAAGCAGCCTTTCCTCACCTTCCTGCTGCCAGGATCTAGAGAGAGGCTCAGGGGAGACATTATCTCTCCAAAGTTTCTTGAAAGGAGGTTTTAGAAATGTGGGAATTGGGTCACTTCTCCCAGGTAACAATAAATGGGACAAGAAGAAATGGCCTAAAGTTGCACCAGGGGAGGTTCAGATTGGATATTGGGAAAAATTCTTCCCTGGTAGGTCAAGTGGCTAAGTCACCATGCCTGGAAGCATTTAAAAGATGTGCAGATGTGGTACTTGGGGACATGGTTTAGTGGCATCAGGTTTATGGCTAGACTCAATAATCTCAGAGGTCTTTTCCTACACAATCGTGGGATTCTCCTAACTAGCTTATTGTGCAGCAAGGTACGAGCAATGTTACCATGTGACATTGCCACACAGCAACCACACAAGCTCTGTGGAGCTGGATCTGCCCCTCCTTACATCAGCTCACCACTGAGATAAGGAAATTATTTTTACCACACAGGAATGCCTCGAAAATAAAAAACCTGATGTTTGTGAGGCGCTTGGTTATTACAGAAGTGGGAGGCTTCATAAAAATATACAGTGGTTAGCCTTTTTCTAAACCCTTCATCCTTTCCTGCCTTGGGATTGCATTCCACACTCAACATGCCAAGTATTCTTCTTCACCAAGATGAAAATACACAACTGTTGGGCAAATTATCTGTAGGCCCAGAGCACGTTTTCCAGCAGCAAGATCTCACTGACAAAAATATTTGCAAGGGCAAATAGGTGGCGAAAGAAGTGTTAGCACAGTAAATCATGTGTTTTAAGTCACTGACAGTTTCAATGGATATGCCTGGGGTGGGCAGGGACAGGATTGTCCCTGGGTCTCCGATGGGAAGCGAGGGGAAGCAATGTCCCATAGGTATGCCAGACACAGAAAAGAAACCAAGGGGAAAGATCAGTGTTTGCCCAAGAAGCACAGGTCAAAACCTCGCAAAATAATTATTTTAAGTCTACAACGAAGCATTTTTAAAGAGTAGTATTCATGACTGCCACAGGTCTCACCAGAAGTCAGCTTAATCTTGCTGAAATCCAGATGACCACAAACCACATAGGCAGCTGTGGGAGCTTCTGCCTGCCTCTACCAGGGCTGGACTACACACAGCCACCTTCTAAAAAAGCCCACTTCCCCTTATGAATAGGCATGATCTGCTTATTAAGACAAGAAGCACTTTCCCCCGTTCCTCCCTCCTCCCTCCCTTGCTCCTTTTGTGGTGAAGGCAGTGGGGCTGGTAAGTTATGCATGCTGGAGCTGTTCTTTTGTGAAGGGGAGATGTTACAACTTGTGTGATTTGCCATTATGCTGTCTTTTGTGACAATCCTGAGATGGAAGGAAATGTCTGGAATATTTCTGGCAAAAAAAAAGAAAAAATACCCCAGGTCCAAGAAAGGATTCAGTGGAGGATGTTGGCATGCTTTACATTGGAGAGAAGAAAGACAAATCACACACTTCAGTGCCCCCACCCCCAAAGCAAATACCATTATAAGCATGTAGGGATTTTATAAATCCTCAAGCCCCTTTTTCTGAAAATTTATTACAAAACAGCTATAAAAGTTTCTGAGTAGGGAAAAAGCCTTCTTCTCTAATACCCATTAACGAACCCATGACCTGGATTTCATGCAAAGACAACTTTGTCTAAAATTTGCATTTATGATAGAATCTGAAAACAAAGTTAAATTCTTTATATCAAGTACAGAATTTCTGTATTTGCAGTTAGTGCTTCAGGAAAAGTGAAATTATTTTTATAATGTATTTTTCAATAATATTACATTTGACAAAGAAAATATTGTCATGTATGTTCTGCAAGAGAAAAATCCACTATCGTCACAAAAAAAGAAACCAACCCAAGGAAAATTTATTTGGCAATTAAAGACATACATCATTAATGTATTTCACCTTTGAAGTTAAGCACTCATCTGTAGAAATGTACTTTGATTTAGGTCTTACCTTTTTCAAGTGAACAGTTTGAGTGTCTCCAACACCCTACTGAAATTCAGCTGGTTTATTATTCTGATAAGAATAATGATTGTCTACATGTAAGATTCAAGGGGGAAAATATATCAGAGGTGAATTTGTTTACAGCACAATTAACCTTATGTTTAAAATATTTGAACAAGTTTTGCAGGCCAAATAATCTGCCACACAAAAAGGGCTGAATTATCAGAGTTTGTGCTAGAAATCGGATGCTGCTTTATGTACTGAATTTCTATCTTTCTGTTCTAAAGTAACCATTGGAATAATTTTCTTACAGAATGATAGTTGCTATGACAACCATAGCAAATTTTCCTTTTCTGAAACAGATGTCTCATTTAGTTGAAAATTAGAATGTGAAAAACCCATGGGAAAAATTAATTCAAATTTTAACAGAACACTGACTACAATGTAATCTCTTATAGGTTAACCCCTTAACATCTTTCTGCACTCCTATAGTAACCTTTTCATAAATTCTAATTAAACCAGTTTAACCTCCTAGGAATGACCTTCTTAGCTATCATTAGCATTTTAGTTGTCTTTGAAAGGATCATTTCTGTTATAATAGCAACAGAAAAAAGTAATACTAAAAAAATAATGGTCAAACATATTACCACCCTAATTATTTATTAGGATTTTTTTCTTTTATTCAGCTACTATGGGAAAGAGCTAACATGTAGCCCAAGAATTGTTTTGTCATTTAAATGGGGCTTTACTTAGTTTTACATGTGATCTGCTGCAAAAGGTGGGGATGCACCACACATATCTGACCTGCCCTTTATATGAAAACTGGAGGTTTTTCATTTTCAAACCAGTGGTACCCATCTCAGTCTGACAGGCAGCCCTACAAACAAGGAATACTTGACTGGGAAGAACTATCAATGCACATGGATTTTTCTATTACAAGCAATGAAAGACTGAAATTTGATTCTCCATTGCCTTGATTCAATTTCAACCTTTTAACTCAAATAATAGCTTCCTTCCTTTCCAGCTCAATGGGACTCCTCACAGTACCTGCACACCCCTGGAAACAAACAGCAGAAAACCAGTGGCACTTCCAGAAACAACCCCCGCCTTGGCACTGCCTGCAGGGCTGGAGGGTGTCAGCTAACACAAGAGCTGCAAGATTTACTGCAGCAGCTGCCTCTAGGCTGCCCAGCTGAGTAACACAAATCTTGCCACCAGCAGGCACCAATTACCCTCTTTGACTTCAAGAGGAAAGCCCAGGAACCACAGGGAGCTCCGGGTGGTTTGACTGAACAGCAGTGGTGTTTCAATGGGATTGGTGGGCAGCATCTTGCAAACACCCTGGTAACAAGAAGTGCAGAACTGAAACACATTGTACCTCCTAATTTCTACTGTTCCTATAAAAATCTTTTATTTTTCTGCAGCTGGAAGCCAAGTTCTCTCACTAGAATTCTTTTGCTTACCAAATAAATTTCAAATGTTCACAAACACATGCAACTTGCTCCAGTCTTTTCTCCACAACAGCTGTCATTTTTCTCCTACAGGAAAATAAACAGATATTGGTTGGTGACTGTCAAGAAGCTCAGTGGGAAAAGAATGGACCAAATCACCTTTCTCAGTCCTTGCTCCTCTTCCTGAAAAAAGCAAATATTCCATATTTAGAAGACTGGACTACCCATGCTGAAAGCCAAACTGGCAAGAGTGACTGGTCAAAGGCCATGGAGCATGAAAAGCAGATTCCACAGTGGCAAACACAAGCAAAACTCCAACACACCCTGATTTCCAGCCCAAGAAAACTCCCTGTTGGAGATTTAAGTCTCATTTTTCTGGTCTTGATATCATCTTACTATCATAATGAGCTACAGTCCTATGAATATGGGTGTACAGCACTATACACACTGCATAGCTTCCCTGGCGTGCAGGTTCCTCAGGTGTTCATATTTTTACATTTCCCAGCACTGCATAAGCTGAATTTAACCAATCACTGCATTTGCCTTTTTAGCCTTTCCTCAGTAAGTAATTAACTATTTTACTGAGTATTTCTATTATTTTTAACTCTACTTTCTCTCCAAGTAAGCATTTACAAAAATTCATATTTTTGGGGTTTTTTTGGTACCAGCCATTTCATCTAAAGTAGTTGTGAAATAACACAGACCTTTTTATCTTTTCTTCCTTGCATGCAAAAGGGCATCCAAAGCAGGAAGGGAAAGGACAAAAGCAGCTATCAGGCCATTGGTGCTAAGACTGACCAGCAGGGCACTGTTTATCTATAGGCTTTGAAATTTCTTTCAGCAACTGGGCATCTAAGCCAAACATAACTGAGATCTAAGGAAAAACGCGTTTCAGAAATCTTCAGGAGCATGAGAAGATTTGTATTATGAGTAACTTTGATGTAAGAGAGGCAAGGGTGGTGTGATTTTTAGAGAACAGCAGTGGGCAAAAAGAATTAAACTGTGCAAAAAAGAAATTTAATTTTTTTTCATTCTTAATATTGAAGCCAGATCTTTTTAAATGAAATTTAAGGCCTTATATTTATAACTAATAAAAGGAAATGATGCAACTCAGGTCCTCTACTGGCCATAACACACAACTCTGCTTCCACGGGGAAGTTTGCCTTACTTGCTTTGCATCCAAGGTTGTCATTCTTGAAACTCTGAATCAAATTTAATTATTGTTTTCACAAAAGGAAAGAATGATAAAAATCTGAGTATGGCCCTTTGTCAGTAATTATTTCTCTTGCAATTTGAGTTACACATGAAATAATTTATCTTCTGTTTAGTAAAGGATTTCATACATCTCTGCAAAGAAGAAAGAATGAGCTACGACTAACAGGAACTGATCATTTCTAAACATTACTCTGTTATAAAACAATGAAAAATAAAATGAAATCTACTTTATCTTCATAATAAGAAAACAAGAAGGTAACAGGTAAGGAGGAAAATTAATGAAAGACTGAATTTAAAATATGCCAGTACCAAATGCAGACAGTTTATCTCATTCTTCTGGAAAGAAAATTGTTATATCCCATCTGATATTTTTTAAAAATAATAAAGCAAACAAAGGTAGAAGCTAATTTGGAATAATTAGTCAAAAGATTCAATGCTGAGGGTGCAGATGCAGAACTGTACAGACTTTCAGAACAGTCTTAGGGATTTAATGCAGAGATAAGGTCTTGAGTTCCTGACGTCTCAGAGCCTGTTCCTCCAGTCTCTTGAATTCTCAGGATGTAAAACTATAGATACAGCCAGGTTATCCAGCCCATATTTAAGATATTGATAGCTGGCAGCCACAGAAAGAAGGGTTAGGAAAGAAGTTAACTGCCTCTCTGTTCTCAGTCACCATCTCATTTTAAATGTAAAACCTGCATGAAGGGGTCAGCCCAGAAGGAAAAAAAAATTGATGCCCATCTATGCATGGCATCTTTATGGTTATTCACTGTCAGATGCCCAGACAGCTGAAGAAAAAGTATGTTCTTCCACACTTCCAGCTAGCTGGTATTTGTTGTAGTCTGCTAAGACACTGCAGGTGTTGGCCATCTGGGGAGCTGGAATACCCCTTTTAGGGACTCTCTCAGGTGAAACATGACTAAAATACGTAGGATATGTAATGGGTGCCCTGAGAAACAACAAAAAAGGCTCTCACAGTAGCCACTGAGTTACTGAGCCCCCACAGTTACAGTTGGGCACAAGAGTTACTCCGTTTAGTAATTCACCAGGTTTACATTCTTGTCTCAAAATACCAGGAGTGATCAGGCCATATGGACTGTCTGCCAGTTATTTTCTGATTTTCCTCTCTTTTTATTTTTTTAACCTTATTTTACTTAGAAAATTCAAATCCATTTTGATTTAAACAAGCATGAAAATGCTTCTAAAACTAATAAATTAATGCAACATGTGTGCATATATGCATGAAGTGTATTATTATTAGTGCTTCCAATCTAGCAACAGATGAACTTACCTCTTGTTTAAAAAAGCACATACTGATACTTCATATGCCATGTGTCTACCTGAAGTGAACAAAATCCAAGCATTCCTAAATTCCATGTTTAAGTTTTCCCACAGTCCTAAATTCACTCCACAGTGCAGTGGTGGAAACAAAGAGCTGCAATATAACTTTCTATACTAAAAATGTACATGTTTAACAGCTATCCTTCAGCTATCCAGGAATCTGAAATACCTTTAAAATGTACTTCTCCGATGTAGATTACACAATAGAGAAATATTTGACACACACAGGTGCAAACCTGTGTTGTAATATCTGGAGAGCTTTATCTGAACTCAGGGAAAAAAAAGGGAATTTAGGACCTTCTGAAGAAGGACAAGAAACTCAAGAAGACTAAAGGATGTTGTGGGTTATGCAGGGAAAAAAGTAGCAGGGCCAATTCTCAGACAGAGCCTAATCTGCCTACTGATGTAAAAGACAGTAAAAAAATAAATACATCAGCAACAAAAGGATGGCCAAGGAGAATTTCCATCTTTTACTGGATACAGGGGAAAACATGGCGACAAGGACTGAGCAAAAAGCTGAGGTACTCAATGCTTTCGCTGTCTAACTCTTTAACAGTCAGACTGGTTGTTTTCATTGTATCGAGCCCCTGAACTGGAAGACAAGGACAGGGAGCAGAATGGAGCCCCATAATCCAGGGGGAAAGAGTCAGCGACTGCTACACCACTGAGACACACCCAAGTCTACGGGGCTGGATGGGATCCACCCAAGAACAGTGTCATCACATGCAGGACAACTGGGGAATCAGCCCCAGCCAAGGCGGGTTTGGGACAGGCAGCTACTGCTTGATCCACCCAGTTCCTTCTGTGACACAGTGACCCCCTCAGCGGATGAAGGAAAGGCTGTGGATGTGTTTCCCTGGACTTTAGAAAGCCTTTGACACTGTCTCCCTCACATTCTCCTGGAGTCACCGGCTGCTCATGGCCTGGGTGGGCCCTGCTTCACTGGGTATAAAACTGGGCTGGTGGGGAATGGAGCCATATCCAGGTGGGACCAGCACCAGTAGGGTCCCCAGGGCTCAGTCCTGTTTAATGTCCTGCTCAGTGTCTTCACTGAAGCCCTAGAAGTTCAGAAGATGTGCAGATCTTAGGGACAGGGTTTAGTGTTTGCCCTGGCAGTGCTTGTTTTATGTTTGGACTTGATCTGAGAAGCCTTTCCCAACCTAAACAATTCTATGATTGCTTCCAATTTTCTCTGCTTTCTTAGTGGTGAAGAAAAATCCTCATTTTAATTCATTTTAAACAATGCTAATTTACTAAATGAAATAATTTATGAAGAGCAATTCCAAAGGAAGTGTTCTGATGTTAAACCAGTTTCACAAGTGATAAATTACTTTTCCCCTTAAAATCCAGTCAAAGGAAAGAGAAAGAACTCAGACAACTTTGTTACAATTGGTTTCTGTGCCAGTGGCAGTTCATGCGGAGCCACCATTTCCTTCTTGATGTAACACCTTTACTGTGTCAAAACCTGGGGAAAATGCACACATACAAGCTACCACTGAGTAGGGAGGCTGATTCTCACCAGGTGTAAATGGCTTGAAAGCTGGTGGAGCACTGCCAAACTACTCCAGCTGAGAATCAGCTCCACATAGACCCACTCCAAACTAGTTGGCTATTTGTGTTTCTCTTGGAATATTGCCAAAGGGCTCATCGAAGTGCCCAACTGTGTTTACATCTTTGAAACATCCTGAAATTGCTGCTGTTTGGGACCACAGCTCAGACAACAGATAGAGCTGGTAGTCCTTTTGTTCATGGAGAAAAAAAAAAGGGGGATAAAGCAGCAAAATAACAACAACAAAAAAAGAAGGCACTTTAAAATCAGCTCTGTCTCATAAAATTAAACTTTCAAGCAAATGTGAAAAATAAAGAGAAAACTGCTGTGGGGGATAGCAATTTCACTCTTGTGGTTTATGGACTGCAGGAAAGTGAAGCCAATTCCCCATAGTGAGATTACAGATCTCCTCTTCTACAGGTCTTAAATTAAAAACCAGCTGAATCCAAAGTGAGCTAGTTTACTGGATCAGAAGATTCAATTATTTTTGCTAAGTAACTGAACGTGAACTACTTCCTTTTAATAATATACAACTAATAATTACTGCCCAAGAAAGGACTTTTTCCTACCAAGCTAATTAAACTAAAGCAATATATTTTTCAACTGCTCTCAAATTTAACTAAAGCGAGGAGCATTGAAAAGCAAGTAAATGCAAATCTCCACTCACATGAAGAAATCCAAAGCCACACAAAGTGCTCAGACATTACAAGAAATAGGATTTGCCCAAAATTGTTATGTTGAAATCAACATAATTTCTGGTCTATATTCAGCATACATGCACGTGTGTGTCCTGCACACTTGTACACACACGGTGGAAGAGCTCTACTGCAAACTGGATGCAAAGCACTTTTGGCTTCATTAACTGCTTGAACTCCCCTTGCAAGAGGTCAGTGAAATGTGTTAAGGAACTGATCCATATCCCTAATACACAACATGCAAGAGGTGTCTAAAGTACTGATTTTCCTCTGTTGTGATGCTCTGG